GTCGGGTCGGCCCAGTTGGAGTTCATGTTGCCCGAGCCCACCGTGGCGGCGAGCGGGAGGGGTATGGGGGCGGCGTTGACAGCCGCGCCCTCCGCATAGGTCCATCGGGCAATGCTGACCACCGGCGACGGCGACGGCGACGCGCTGGGCGTGACCGACGGCGAAGGGGTGTAGGACGGCGACGGCGAGTTCGATGGCGACAGCGTCGGCGTGGGGGATGCAGAGACGTAGATGCCCCTCTCCATCACGTATTCCTGATCAAGCGCCCCCTCCCCCCAAAGTGGTACCATGTCAGATTTCAGCGTCGACACAGCGTTGTGGTGGCCACGTCCCCCACAACCAACACATCATCTGTCCAGCTAGAACACGCTCAAGTAGATGAAGAAGGTGAAGAACCTGGAAGTCCATGGCGGAGGCCAGGCAAAGGAAGCCCAGGAGGGCGACCAAGATACAAGGGAAACGAGTCATCATCCCTGTTCTCTTTTTCTCTCTGATTGTACCTTGATTCTTGAGAAGAGGATGAGGATGATTCGTGGATTCTCTCCTTCTTCTTCTTCTCACGCAGAGAGGACAACAGCAGCCGGGTCGAGACCAGACTCGGGTTGGTCCTGTTTCTTCTTCCCTCCCCCCCCCAACTTTGAGCAGAGGGGAACCCACAAATGGAATAGCACCCCCGCCAAATGCAGCGTGCCACGCCTTGCCCAACAACCAAAAAATGGTGGTTGACCTGATTGCAGCTGAAATGGTGGTTGACCTGCAACAACGTGCTGGTACGCCGACCTAAAAAGAAACCCTCTTCGTAGTTTTGGATCTTGCTCCAACGGTAAAGAGCATTTGTTCGTTTTTCCTGTGATTATGCACTTTTTTTTTGTTCTCAGGCGGATCACTTCAGAACTTGTGGTCATTTGAAATGAGAGGTCCAGTCATTTTGAAAAGTGATTTTGTTTGTCAGTTTAACCTCATAAAAATGGTTTTGACAACACAAAAATGGTTTCAATATAAAAATAGCAAGACAAAATTGGGAGCATTGTGAGGTGGCCTGGAGTGGCTCTTTGTCATTCAAAATTGTGGCAGCATTCATCTTCACATGATATGTGGGGCAAGGAGGAGACTTATTAGCAAACATTCTATTGTGTATGCATATGCAATAGAATGTCCTGCAGTTTCAAAGCATAATGGGCTTTGAAAATAGCATGTGTGCAATGGGGCAGTTACCTCCTTCAGGAGCTTTAACAGTTCCTTGTTGTTGGCCATGCCTGATGGATGGGTGCACCTACAGGTACAAAAACTGTAAAACAGGACACTCACTTTATCATTATGAAGGCAACTTCACTTTATGCTATCTGCCACAGAGGCTACTCCTGCTGGGCTGCTCATATGAATTTGGCAACTGCACACTGAATGACTGGCATACAAGCAACATTCTAAACTTGCAAGATTGTGTAACAGGATTACATGAGCCTACTGTTGACTATTCCAACTCAATCCCCTCCCTTCCCATCATCCCAAGGAGTCAAAAGTAGGCCTCCAACCACTCACCTGTCCTCATGGGTGTCACCAACAATGAGGAGGGTGAAGTATCAATGTGAAGATTTAACCTGGACTCTCCCCCAGGCAACTCCCATGTTGTGTGTAAGAGAGAAGAGACCAATGAACCTGACCTGCAGGAGATCACCAGGCAGGATGTGACCTCAATGTTGAGACCTACATCTGGGCCAACATACAGTTGCTCCTCCCTTGTGTGTGTAGTGTGGGCATGTTGTGTGCTAATGATGTGTGTTGTGTACAGATCATCTTCGTGGTGGGTGTCATTAAGTGTTGGCCTATCTGTCACTCCACTACCTCAACAAGCCCAAGAGATTATAGGTATTAAGGGTCCATTGTCCCTATTAGTAATCAACTTTCCATATATGCTTTATTAGAAACACATGGGCAGCAATGGTTGCACTACAAGCTCATGGGCACACAGGAAGCTTGGCCAACAGGGCAGTAGCTGCATGTATTGCACCACCACACGACCTGCCACACACCACTAGTTATATCACTATAAACTTTCCTTTCTCTGCATGTGGCCCCTGTAACCTCAATACACCATGGTTGGTGGTGGGTAGTAATCAAAACAATCTACATTTGCCCACTTGCAACTGGGTCTGTGGATGATTCTGTTGAATGGAATGCAAAACAGCACTCCTCCAGCCAATGGTCAAGTTTGCTGGCGTTGTGGGCTGGCGCATTACCACTGTACCACTGGTGGCCACTGGAGAGATGTTGCTTGTAGTAATGGGTCTTCACCTTGCTGTGGTTTTGGCTGATGTTGGTGGCCACCATCTCATATGGCCAGAACACTGTCCCTTTTCCACTGGCTGATTGTCATGTTGAGCTGGCCTGGGACATTCAAACTTGTCATGCTCTGAGGGAGTGAGAGTTTGGAGTGTGGTGTGGCAGTGCTTACAGGCTTCATTGTCCACATAAGGCTCACAGACCAGGTGTGAAGGCTCAAAACAGGAGCCCATAGGTTCATGGCACAGGTGGGAGGTGGGTGTTGCTGAGGACCTCCACTCACCACCTGACACATGGAGCATGCACTGGTGGAGATACTGCTTGAGTTGTATGCCACCACAACTCAAGCTCACATGTGCATGGGGAAGATGAGAAGAGAGGAGGAGAAGGCAGGGATGGACATGAGGGCTGGCCACAAGGTGAGGTGGGATGTGGACAATGATGTGGGGCTCCAGCCTCCTCAAGAACACAAGCAGCTCTTCTTGACCAGCTATGTGCAGCAGCACCTGCTCAATGTCCTCCAGGCAAATAATAAAGTCATGGTCGTCGAATAATAAAAGGCAGCCGAAACGAAAGGGCGGCCCCAAAAGACGGTGTAAAAATTAATAAATAAATACAAACAGTAGAAACAATAGA